AAAAAAAAAAAAAAAAAATGACACTCAAAGAAAATGCTCACTGGAGCATTTCGGGTTTCAGATTTGGGATGGGCAGCCGGTAAGTACAATGCAAATATTCCAAAGTCTGAAATCTGAAAAATTATTCTGGTTTCAAGCGTTTCAGAAAATGGATACTTAACCTATACAAACTCTTTTTCATGATAAAAATACCAGAAATGGTCCAACTACTCTGGGAAGCTAAATAACTATTCCAAATATCCAAGAGGTAACACAGCTTTAGTATTCTACATATCTTTATGCTGTAAATGCACAAAATCATAATGCTAACCAAAAGTGAAAATAAAGAACATCAATATGAAAAAGGATTCTGAAAGCCTGGGTCAAATAAAAATGGAACCCAACTACATGCTAATGAGGCCAAAACTGATGTTAAGCAAGAAGAAATGCACACAGGAAGAACTCAATGTGTCAGCGGAAATTCAACTTAAATTAAGATATCTCCACTAAACTGTTAGTCTTATTCATTTGGGCAAATGTAAGAGTTGAAGTATATGAAACTGAACCTAGCATATATGACTTCCATATGATCACTTTCTTTAAAAAAAAAAAGCCGGGCCCGGTGGCTCAGCCTGTAATACCATGACTTGGGAGGCTGAGGTGAGTGGGTTGCCTGAGCCCGAGGGTACGAGACCCGCCTGGGCAACTTGACGAGACCTCATCTCTACAATAAAATCAAAAAAATTAGCCGGGTGTGATAGTGTGTGCCTGTAGTTCCAGCTACTTAGAAGGCTGAGGCGGAAGAATCACCTCAGATCGAGGCTGCAGTGGCCGGAAGCGGCCACTGCACTGCAGTCTGGGTGACAGAGTGAGACTCCAACTCAAAAAAAAATAAAAATAAAAATAAATTAAATGTTTAAAAAGCATAGTGTAGAGGTCTTAAAATTTCTGGCCGGGCTTGGTGGCTTAGCCTGTAATCCCAGCACTTTGGGAGGTCGAGGCATGTGGATTGCCTGAGCCCTCGGGTTTAAGACCAGCTCGGGCAACTTGGCGAGACCTCGTCTCTACAATAAGTCAAAAATTAGCTGGGCGTGGTAGCACACGCCTGTAGTTCCAGCTACTTGGAAGGCTGAGGCGGAAGGATTGCCAGAGCCCAGCAGGTTAAGGCTGTGGTGGCCGGGAGCGTGCCACTGCACTCCAACCTGGGCGACAGAAACTACAACTCAGAGAAGAAAAAAAAAAAAATTCCAGATAAAACAGAATCCGGGGTTCTGCACAATTACCAAACCATGAGAGAAATGACTGCAACATTTAAAATAACTGCTAAGCATACTTTTCTGGTATAAAACACTATGATGCTTTCATAAAATGGCTACGGAATTATGGAATATAAAAAAAAAATTTTTTAATTCCATAATTAAAAACATTTTCTAGCCGGGCTCGGTGGCTCAGCCTGTAATCCCGCGCCTTTGGGAGGCTGAGGTGAGTGGATTGCCTGAGCCCGCGGGTTCGAGACCCGCCTGGGCAACTTGGCGAGACCTCATCTCCACAATAAATAAAAAATTAGCTGGGCATGGTAGCGCATGCCTGTAGTTCCAGCTATTCGGAAGGCTGAGGCGGAAGGATCGCTGGAGCCCAGTAGTTCGAGGCTGCGGTGGCTGGGAGCGGCCACTGCACTCCAGTCTGGGTGATAGAGTGAGACTCCAACTCAAAAAAAAAAAAAAATTTTCTATCCTCTTTCATATAAAGCAAATTGTAATAAAATGTCTTCCAATTAAGTCTGCATAAAATCTACCACACCTCGTTTGCATTTTTTCAGACTAGGTTTAGCACAAGCAAATAACCATGACTACTCTAACCCAAAAATACATTATTTATAGGAAAAAAAATTAAGTAAAACAATTCCATTGCTCCCATTATGCCAATCAAAAAATGATACATAGCTTAATGCCATCAACTGAGAGGTCCAGAAAAAGAAAAAATTTAAGCTACAGACAGGTAAGCATAGCATCATTTGAGAATAATGTGTTTCCCATTTTTTGATAATAATATTTGACATGGTTAATTCTTATTAATATATTAGAATTGTTTATTGTTAATAATGAAAATAGATAATTTTTTATTATTCACAAGTAACATTTCACTATTAATGGTTTGAAATAGGTGATAAGCAAACCAATTTGAAATAAAATATGAACATGTACCATTGTATCATAACACTAAAAAAAAAAGAAAAGAGAGAATGTGCTTCATGTTGTATGCATGTACCATAAAATCACACGTATCCCATCCATGTGTACAATTATTATGCATCAATTAAAAATTGAAAACAAACACACCAAAAAGACAAAACAAAAAAAAGAATAATGTGCTTCAGAACAACTGAAAATCACAAACAAAGTAGCTGCTTCTTCATTTTAAATTACATAAGTAAAGTGCTGTTAGATCTGTAACTCAGGCAATAATGAGAAAGATGATGCTCAGATTGAAAGAAAGTCTGGAGATTAAAAAAATAAGGGTATTTCCCAAAATATGTAGACTACATATACCTTAATTTTCCAAAGAGGAATCCTTGAACTTCATCAATAGGATCATTTTCACCAATCACTGTGGTATTTAACTCCGTTCCTATGAAAGCATAGAAAATACATGTGTCAGTGTTCAGATGAGACACAAAAATGTTGCTAATCTCCTAAACCTCATAAAATTTAAATGAGTTTTTAAAAAAACAGAAATATCTGAAATCATACCATTTAAAATGCTAAATACACCAATTAACCTTTTGCAATAGCTCATTGAATAGAATAAATATGTTTTTTAATATTTCCAGTCATCCCAGATAAAGTAAAAATGTATTTACCCCTGTAACTGTAAAAAAATTTATATGGTAAAAATTTCAAAATTAGCACTGGATGCAGTGGTTCCTCCCTATCATCTCAGAACTTTGGGAGGCCAAGGAGAGACAATTGCTTGAGACAAGGAGTTTAAGATCAGCCTAGGCAACCTAACCAGATACTATCTCTTAAAAATAAATAAATAAATTAGCCAGGCATGGTGGTAGTCCATGCCTGTAGTCCCAGCTACTCAGGAGGCTGAGGCAAAAGGTTTACCTGAGCCCAGAAGGTCAAGGCTGCAGTGAGCTGTGACCATGCCACTGCACTCCCACCTGGGTGAAAGAATAATACTCGACTCAAAATACAAAAGAAAATTCAGAATTAGGCCAAGCATCGTGGCTCATGTCTATAATCCCAACACTTTGGGAGACCAAGGTGGGAGGATTGTTTGAGGCCAGGAGTTCAAGACAAGTCTGGGCAACATGGCAAGCCATTTCCCTACAAAAAAATTTTTTTCCAGCTTCATAGCTTTAAAAACTATAAATAAATAATTTTTCAATGTCAAAATTCCGAAGAATTTGCAATTAGGTGAGTTAATCCTAAATACAATTACTGAGGAAAACAGCAAGTACTAGATTTTCCACTGTTTTACTGCCCAAACTAATCATGTTTTACCTTTAAGACGAGCTAAAAAGGAAGAATAAAAAGAATATAAAATTTGTGACTGAAATAATAAGCCCAAAACCCTAGAGTATTACACAAAAGGAAGAATCCATACTAAACTGTTTAATGCACAGAAAGTAATTAAGAACAGAACACTGTTGATAAATATAGGCTACTTTAAACTTTCACCTTGGAGTCACAAACTAACGGGGCCACCGCCTTGCTGTACTCCGGCATGGCCAAGTGCTCCTCAAGCTGCAGCTGTTGCCAAGGACCCTGGCTTCGGCCCCCCCCGACCTTGGGGAGGCGAATCTTCTTTCTTCCTTCTTGTTCTCTAGTTTACTTTTAAATAAACTTTTCTTTCTTTAAAAAAAATGGCTATTTGTAACCCACATAACATTAATAATAGCTACCACTTACTGAACATTTTTGAGCAAAAAGTCATGCCAAATTCCTTACTTATATGAGGGGGACCCAAAAAATCCCAGAATTATTTATTAAAATTTTCTCTTTATTCTTACATGTTTAAACTTCAGTCACCCGCAAAGTATTCTCTGATACATCTATCGAGATGCTTTTTCTACTGCTCAAAACAGTTTTTGAACTTGTTCGTTTTGATGCCGTTTAGTTTTTTTTTAACTGTTTTTTATTTCACCTCTTCCACATCAGCAAAACGTTTTCCTGTATGAACTTTTTTCATCAAGGAAACAAAAACAAGTCGCTCGGCACAAGATCAGGTGAATAGGGCATGGCGGTCAAGCCATTTTTGGTCAAAAACTGCTGAACACTCAGCATGGTGTGGGCAAGTGTGCTTGTAACTCACCCATCATGAAATGGGCAAGTGCATCGTAAGACTCTCAGAAGAAAATTAACGGAAGCCAAACACAGCCTCTCCCAACGATGCTAGCTGGCACACTGAGGTCAATGGGTTCCTAGAATGCTTACCAAGTGATGAGACTCTACTACAAGGGGCCCGTCTTCCAAAGATAATTCTGTTTTTTTGACTGGGGTCCCCCCCACACATCTTATTTACTCCTCTCAAATCTTGTAGAAACGTGTATTATTACTTGGGAGAAACCTATAAAGTTTGTTTAAGATTGCCCACTCAAATATAACAGCACCAGGATTCACACAAGGTGAGCACACTCCTAAATCTATTCTTTTTTTTTTTTGAGTTGGAGACTGGAGTGCAGTGGCACACTCCTGGAGTGCAGTGGCACACTACCTCTGTTGGGGTCCGGTGATCCTTCCGCCTCAGCCTTCCAAGTAGCCAGAACTACAGGTGTGCGCTATCATGCCCAGCTAATTTATTTTATTTATTGTAGAGACGAGGTCTCACCAAGTTGGCCAGGGGGGTCTTGAACCCGTGGGCTCAGGCAATCCACTTGCCGCAATTACAGCCTGAGCCACCAAGTCCAGCCTATTCATTTTCGTTATGGAAACAAATCCCCCTTTAACTCATACGTAAAGAAAACATACTGTCTTATTTTCACAAATTCACCTTTCACCTGAGTATCATCCTTGGCCTTGTACTCGGTGCTCTTAATGGCCAGTTCCACACCGTAGCCAGAGAGGTGGACAGGCTCGTTCCTGGGATTCTGCAACAGAGTATATTCCACCATTACCACTTTGCTCTCTACATGCCACGGTGCACACAGCAGGGCCATGTCCACCCTGCTTCTACTAGCAATTATCTAGGACTATGCACTCACGATATTTTGAAATGTGTTTTTTAAAGATATCAACTGTGACCCAGAGAGTTCAATAAGTAATTTTTTAAAGCCCAAAACCTACCAAAATACAACAGTAATAAAAGCACTTACCTACCATTAAAATACGGATTATATTTTTTTGAGTTGGAGTCTCACTCTGCCACCCAGACTGGAGTGCGGTGGCATGCTCCTAGCCACCGCAGCCTCAACCTGCTGGACTCCGGAGATCCTTCCACCTCAGCCTTCCAAGTAGCTAAAACTAGAGGTGCGTGCCACCACACCCGGCTAATTTTTTAAAGTCTCGCCAAGTTGTCTGGGTGGGTCTCAAACCCATGGACTCAGGTCCACTCGCCTCAGCCTCCCAAAGTGCTGGGATTACAGGCTGAGCCACCGAGCCCAGTCAATTCTATGTTTAAAACTCAGTTTAGAGCCCATGTTTCTCGCTCTACAAAATTCTAGCCTCAGCCGGGCTCGGTGCTCAGCCTGTAATCCCGCGCCTTTGGGAGGCTGAGG